TTCTTTATTTCATAAATTATGGTTTCATATTTTTAATTTTAGAATTTCTGCATGCCATCTTACGAGATTTAAACTGATGATCTATAATCTGGAAAAGTCGATAATCCGGAATCGCCGAAGTCCCGACGAGTCCGGATTAATGACTTTTGACTATATAATTATATTAAATTATGCTAGTGAATATTAGTAAAAAATGAATTTTGACAGTTGAAAATATTTATTAAAAAACCCTTTCTAAAATTTGTATATGAACATATTAATAGAAATTGTAAATGCAGTTTGGCAATCCTCTACAAACCTTTCTGTTCCTTACCACATTTTTTCATTTCACATATTTGTTTCATTTAGGACAGTGCTTACGGCAAAAAGTGCATGAACTAAATTTGGCGGAATTTTATGTATATAATGAAAATGTGCGTGTTTATATAAAAATGTTGTTAGCTTTGAGTTTTATACCATTGGATGATGTTATCAGAGTATTTGAAGAATTAATTGAAACTTTCGCAAACAAACTAGACCCTATTATTGCTTACTGAGATGATACTTGTATAGGACGAATAATATGCAACTGCCGAGCACAATTACCATTTGCAATACATGTGTGGAATGTTTATGAAGACACCAAATAATCAGAGGACAAATAATTCAGCAGAAGGGTGGCATAGAACATTCCAGCGAACTGTAGAAGGGTGGCAGAGAGGGTTCCATTATCCATATCTCTACAAACTTGTTGATCATTTCCAGATAGAGAAAGATATGGTGGAAATCAGCTTAACACGTCTTGCTGCAAGTATTCACAACATAGGCATTAGCAAAGCTAAGTATACAGAACTCAATCGATGCCTGGAAGCATTAGTAGAAACTTATGCAAATATGGGAACATATGGACTTTCTTAGTATTTTACATAACCTTGAAATGTAATTTTTATAAAGAATGTGGGGTAAAAATTTATTTACGGTTGCGCCTTGGCAAAAATTGGCGATTTTTGGTGGTACATGGATACCGAGTTTGTGCAATTTTTTTACCTGTTATTTTGGTTTTCGATTCTTGGCGGTACATGGATACCGAATTTGTGCAAGTCTTTCAATAAAAAAAAAAATTGCACAAACTCGATATCCATGTACCCATTGACTTATTTTCACTTTAAAAAAAAATCAGAGAATTGCACATTCCCTTAACTTTATCCATGTACACATCTACCTATTTTCAGTTAAAAAAAAAAAAAAAAAAAAAAAAAAAAAAGAGAACTGCACAAACTTGGCATTGTGCACTCCCTTTACTTTTGTCCATGTACACATCGATCTATTTTCACTTAAAAGATCAAAGAAGCACCCAAGTCTACAGTAAAGCCAGACAAAAAATACACAATCTCAATAAACTACATTTTAAATCAAAGAATAAAATAACATAAAAAAAATTCCTCATATGCATCTGAGCACTACACAAAGCATATATTCACTTACTTTATTTAGAATTTAGAAATTTCTACGTCTTCAGTCTGTGGCACACTAAATTCCTTAACAGCATCCGAAAGCTTCCTAAAATTATCTGAAATATAATCCATATATCGGCGTCGCCACATAAATTCACAAAAATAAGTGTAAAAAATATCCTCCAGCATTCAACCATATGCATTTCCTTCCTACAAACAGGACACTTATAATGCTACTAAGTAAACCTTCATTTACACACCACACACCAGTCAATTAATGCACTTTCCCCCTTTCGTTCCATATTGTACAGAAACTTCAAATTAATCTTACCACGTTCAAACCTTCTACCATCTAAATCACAAAATAAGCAATGCACTTCCTAACCAACACACACCACAAGCCCTTACAAATCTTTTTCCCATCATTCAAAATTTATGGCAGTCACGCAGCCGATCACGTCATAATAGGTTTTCCATAACATTTAACTACTCAGGTTACCATAAATGAAACAACAACTTGATGATAAATAAAACAACTTTGCGATAATACAAAGGGCACCTTTCAATCTACTTTAACCGAATGTGGTAAGGGACAGAAACCTTAAAGGTTTGTAAAGAATTATCAAACCACATTTTAAAATTTCTATTAATATGTTCATATACAATTTTTTAAATGTGTTTTTAATAAATGTTTTAAACTGTAAAAATAATAATACTGATATGTTTTAATAGAATTAATTTTATATAATTATATGAAAAGGCTGTAACAATTACTTTGGGGCTATTTTGAAGGGGTACCACTGCTTGCCATTCTTCATTTTAAATACTGACCACAAATTCTCAGTATGCCAGCACAGAACTTTGATATGAATTAGAACTTACTCCAAGAAGTTTTTCTTAGCTTTAGGAAGCAGTTAGTCCCATGAAAATAAACTGATAATCAAGGGTTTGAGCTTCTGAATCCCATAGAAATGAAATAGCCTTTCTTCTGAGAGAGCCGTTGCATTGTCGTAATGCGTTAGGATTCTTTGTAATTCATTTTTGACTGTTATAGTTTTTTTTAGTACATTAAACAAGCTTTTAATGGTATATTATTTAACAGTCACTTAAAAAAATTTCTTTTTTTAATCATCACAGTCTCAATGTTTTATCCATTTGCAGAGAAAAAAGAGCTCACCGTTTCACTCTTGTGTCGACCTCAATGAGGGATCATAAGCAGGAAAAATCTGTACCATAAAAAGTGATGTGTTAGAGTTTTTGTTCATATTGATAAAGCCAAACTCTGTCACCTGTTAACAGTGTTAAAAATCACTTTTGAGTGTCCGAGCAAAAGATCCTTTTCATCAAATCTTAGAGAAAAGTTTTTTTTTCTGTGTGCCTATCTGCTTGAGCCTGGTTTGTTATATTGCCAAGTGATGAGGGATCCAGTGACTGCTAATCCTCCTGACACTGTGTTTTTCATAAGAAATATTTATGACAAATCCAATAGATAGAGATTTTTCAGCGACAAACCAAAATCTAAACAGAATCCACTTCATAACATGTATGTCTTTTTTAAAAATGCTAGTAAGCATTCATTATTTCATTCATATAGGGTAGCAAAATTTTTTGCTTTTGAAATTAATCTGACAGCAGTTCTCTGTTCAGCATTGTGATCAGTTTTAAGTATAAACATTTCCAAATTAAATACTAAATCATTATTCTTTTTAGAATTTCTTATGCTTCATATTTTCTGATTTCAGTCTCAAAGGTAAAATACTTTAGCTGATTTAAAAAACAGAGTTTAAAAATAACCAATTTGCATATCTTGGCAGTTCTAGTGTTGTTTGTAACAAAGAACAAATCTCTGAAAAATACCTGAAGTACATTGTAATTTTGTAAAAATTTAATCTCATTCTTTAAAGGAATTAAAGAGCACTTTTTGCAAGTAATGCTTATTAATGTTATGTACTTTGGTGTTTTAATATTATCCCCCCCTCAAAAGTACAAATTTGGGACTTGTTTAATTTTTATGTTTGATTCCATTTTTTGAACTTGTAATACCATCAAAGTAATATTTATAAATGATGATCATATAAATATATCTTATCTGGATGATATTTTATCATTAAAAAAATATTGAAAAGATACATGTGGAACTAGAGAAAATTTCTAGTTTTTGTAATATTAGTAAAGTAAAAATAAAAATCAAACATTTAAATCTGTCCCATATTATTTCAGAGCAAACCACTCAAAATAAAACTGAGAAGCACAGTGACTAATTGCATGAAAAGGTGCAAAAAAAAAAAAGTACAGTCAAAAGTCGCTAATCCGGACCTCAAAACTACAAACTTTCCGCGCATGCGTCGCGTTCACGCTTGCTCGTAAGACCTTTACGGCTGCGCATAATACGTTTGCGCATGCGCGTTTAATGTATAACGGACGGTATAAGCTAAAATTATCTGTTTCAGTTAATGTTGCAGGTTGCGTTGTTCTTTAATCTTCGAATTGGATCCGGCTTATTATTTTTTGCAGACTGTTGGAGCAATTTTATAAAAGTAAGCTTGAATTTTCGATTATGTAAAATAGAATTTCCGATGCTGGAGCTCCCAAAGGATCTACAAAGCGAAAGTATGTTTCGATGTCCATCAAACAAAAAGTGGAATTGCTACAAAAAATGGATAAAGGCATATCCTTTGTTTCTCTAACCATTCTGAAAATCTGTTTATCAACTTCACTCTGCTCTGCGGGGGGAGGGGGACGCCGCCGCGGCTCGCAATGAATTGGAAGTTGATCTGCCAGCACTATCCTTATCTTCAGGGCAGATGTTTTTATTTTATTTGGCTTATAATTACTTACTAAATGTAGTATTTCATCTCGATGTACTCCGTCTTTGATATGATTTAAATCAAATTCCTGGTCATTATAATTTGCTTCCGATAGTGCAGAAAGTGACACAGAGGTTATTGAAAACGAAAAAATTTCGCTTGACAAATTAGTCAGTATTCTCGACACAGCAATTATAGGACTTGAACAGCGGAACTTTGTGATTGAACAAGAAATTATGTCTGTTTATAGAATTAAAGAGAAAATATTATCACAAAACGAAGCAACTTAAACAACTTACATTGAAAGAAATGTTTAATAAAGTAAACAAATAAATATTAAGCTTTTTTTTGTAAATTTTGATACCCTTTAGATTATAATTGTTCTTTATTTCATAAATTACGGTTTCATATTTTTAATTTTAGAATTTCTGCATGCCATCTTACGAGATTTAAACTGATGATCTATAATCCGGAAAAGTCGATAATCCGGAATCGCCGAAGTCCCAACGAGTCTGGATTAACGACTTTTGACTGTATAATTAAATTAAATTATGCTAGTGAATATTAGTAAAAAATGAATTTTGACAGTTGAAAATATTTATTAAAAAACCCTTTCTAAAAATTGTATATGGACATATTAATAGAAATTCTAAATGCAGTTAGGCAATCCTCTACAAGCTTTTCTGTTCCTTACCACATTTTTTCATTTTAAATAACTATTTTTGGGATTTTTTACGAGTTTTAAAATTTGTTTCTTCAGGTAAAAAAAATTATAGCATGCATTGGGACTGTAGCAGCTATGTCAACTGAGAAACTCCAGGCAAAGGAATTAGTTCCATGCCACGAATGTCATATGAAACGACTTCCCAAAGCAAGTGAAGTAAGTGAATATGTATTTTGTATCCTGGTCTATTGATAAAAATAGTGTATACTCAGTTTTACCACTTTTTGTTCACTCTTAACCTTTTTTTAATAATTTAAAAGTATACCTTGTAAATGAGGTAAAGGTAATTTAAAAAGTTAGTTTTTAAAAACGAGTTATTAAAGTGTTTCTTGTCAACTTGCCAAAACTGGCACAGTAAAAATATATTGCTTTAATTGCCTTTATTTCTAGAATGCCCCTCTCCTGAAATCAATTATTTATTCCTATGTTTAGGAAAATGTTCTAGTTTCTTGAAATAAGAAACAGGAAAAATGTACAATGCCCTCATTGAAATTCAAACTCTGAATCTCTTGATTGCTAGTTGGACGAACTTCCAGCTACACCACAAAGGCTAGCCCGATTGCTAGGCCTATCCTTTGTGGTGTAGCTTCTGCTAGGCCGATTGTCGAAATTCAAATTGCGGTTTTTATGGCTCTAACGCGCGACTTAGGATATATATTAGATATATATATATAATATTGTTCTAACAAGCATTCTGACTCAAAATTGGACTATTTCTAAAATAACCCAACAATTTTTTTACATATTTCGATTCTACAACTCAAATTATGCAAATTAAGTTTTGTAAAAAAACCCATGTGTAGTTTTTTAAAAATTAGCTCTCAAAATTTTAGCCCCTCAATGTTAATTGAATTTGGTATATCTCTTTCTTTATTGAACTTTTTTGATTCTTCCTTTCACATTTCAAAATTTAGGTTCATTCCAAATAAAATTCACCAATTTTTTATGATTTATTTTTAAAATTTGTATTTTAAAATAATTTTTATAAATTTTTTGAAAAAATTTTGAATTATAACCTGTAAAATTTTTAGCATCATCTTAAAGTAGATGTATTTCTAAGCATACCTGCAAAAAGTTAGTTTTTTTATTCAAAATTGTCTTAAGATGTACATGAATTTACATAGTGGGGCATTTTGAAATTTGGCATCTTTTTTTAAGCGATTATAATGCCAAATGTGGTTTATGGATTTTGTTACAGTGAATTGCCACAGCTATTTTTAACTTTAAATTTCAAATAAATTTTTATGGAGAATTAATTATATGGAATTTTTTCCCTCAATGATGTGCAATAAATATTTATTAATGCTATACAAAAAGCTTTTTTTAAAAAATGATACATGATATTGTTCAAATTCTTAAAATTTTTTAAATTTCTTCCTTACTTCCTTTTTTAAAAAATATTTGTAAGAGTAAATTTTTACATTCGCCATGTTATCGTGTGCTACTGTACTTTAACTTCATTTAAATTCAATTGTCTAAAATTGAGAATGCCCGTTTGATGCCTATTTTCTCAATGTCTTTAAGCAAAGAGGACATTGGAATAGTTCTGCGACATTTCCAATCTGGAAAATCGTTTAGGAAAATAGCTGAAATCACTGGCTATTCTAAAAGCAGGATTCATAGCATTTGACACAACTGAAATGCATTTGATGCAACTGATATTTTTAAAAAATTGAAAAGAATGCAAAATTTACGGAAATGTAACAATTGAAAAATCTTAGTTTTCTTGTATCAATGCTGAAAACAAATGTAGAAGGAAAGAAGAAAATTAGGAGGAAAAAAAAAGCAAAAATTTGAATGGCAATCTGCTTTAAAAAAGTTGGGTGTTCAAAGAGAAAACACTTGGATATGTACACCAGCAAATACCAGAAATTGAGCTTGTGCTAACGGAAAAGACAAAAACAATATCATTGCAGATTAAAGTGAAGAGGGACTGGTTTTCGACTAAATGGTTGTCTAAATTTAAATTACGTTATAGAACATCATATCACATCATAAACAGAGAATTCCATGATTTCTCAGTCGAATTATTTGAAGATTCAGGAATTTATCCAATGATATATATGGATGTCATCTAAAGACACTTTCCCTCTTGATGAAATCAGTCTTTCCTTTCATCTCATGCCTTCAAAATGCCTAGCTTTTAAAGACTGATAAAGGCTGTGACCAAATGCTAATGAAATGGATTGAATTGGATTATTAAGTTACAACAAAGCAGGTAACTTCATGAAGAGCTTTCTAAGGGAAACTAGCTCGTATACATGTTACACATTAGAAAAACCATGAAAATTAGAAAAACCATGAAAATGCCCATGCAACCAGCCCGTTTGCCAGGATTCAAACCCCAGAATGAAGTACCAGTATTCAGCGACTTTACTGTTTAGCCATTTGTGGTCCCTTATAAAATGGAAGGTAATAACTTTATTTAAGATGAATGTTAGAAATATCAAGATGTTTAAAAAAGTTTGATGCTTTTTTAACATGCCGGAAGAAAAAGAGCAAGCCATTAAGAAGAAAATTAATTTTTGCATAAAATTTATTATTTTTTTAAACATTTAAAACTTTTTAAACTTTAATCATATTTGATTCTTGCGATTTCAAAAATAAAATATTTTACTAAAATATGAATAACATTATAAGAAACTAGTAGGATGATAAAATTGTGTAAAGCAATGGGCACAATGATGAAACTGTTTAAAGCAATGTATGCAAGTCATTCTAAGTTAAAATGTTGGTTATACATCTCTCTTATTTATATATCTATTCTGAAAAGCATGTTAACTGCATTTTCTCTTTTAATATATTCAGTTTTCAAATGCATCGTAGTTTGGGTCACAAAGTAGTCTTTCGAAAGAAACACAATTCAAATAATTAAAATGAAATTCTGGAAAATTTATATGAAACAGTATTTATGTAAAATAGTATATTTAAAATGTGCAGTACGAATGAATAAATAGAAAATTTTAAAACAATTATCTGAAGAGAGAATGCAACACAATTAAAATAAAATTAAAAAAATTTAAAATTACCTAAATGAATAACTATGACTAAAAAATATATTATAAAGAAAACTATTTGAAAAAATATATGACACACTTTTTTATTTAACTATGCAGTTCGAATGAGTAAATCGAAATTTTTGAAACAGTTATTTGAAAGAAATGCAGCATAAACAATTAAATGAAATTCGAAAAAGAAAATAAATTATTTAAAATAATAACAAATATAATTAAAAATATAATATAAAGAAAATTATTTGAAAGAAGGAATGATGTAACTTTTTCTCCGCTCACGCACAATGCAAAAAGGGAAAGAAAAACAGGTTGTCATATATTAAGAAGTTTGCCCTTGGCACAAACTGAAAAAAATCTGCTGAGATTAAATTTTGAATTTCTCTGTACATTTCACACCAAATTTTACAAAATTTAATTTTTAGGCATGATTTGAGTCAGAGAATGGAAATATATAAAAAAAAATTGTTATATTGTTACAGAAAAAGCCCAATCTTGTGTCAAAATGAAAAACGCAATTTGAATTTCGTCAATTGGCCCAGTAGAATGGGAGATGTAGAACTGTCCCCCCTTTTTTTTTCCAGTGTACATACATTTTTTAAAGTCTTTCTTATTTCAGTATTATGTAGCTGTTGGAATTGTTTAAAATTTTCCTTCCTTTCAGACATCTTTTCAAGGTAATAGTAAATATCAACAATGTGTTCATCTGCACTTATTGGTAAAGAAGCTGCCCCCTTTTCAACTGCTCAATTTGAGAGGTGACAGGTGCACCTCATAATTTGCAAATCTGAATTTTCTTTTTTTTAAGACCTTTTTTGAAAATCTTGAGAAATTTTAAGAATAAGAGAAAGTTTGGAGAAATATGTTGCAAATCGGTTGGCAGGAGTTGGCAGAAATTAGGAGTCTCTCAGCTAAATCGGGAGAGTTGGCAACTCTGCTATGTACATACATTGTCTTGTTTACAAGGTGGACCAACCTTCAGTAGCTTTACGTTTTTTTAATTAATTGAAGCACAGTTAATTTACAAAACTACATTTCCTAATGCTCACCTCCTAGCACATACAGAATGAACAAAAACTTTTTATATTCATTTCAATTGTAGGCAACAATTATTATTGGTCATAATAACTACAACTACTTCTACTAGATAATGACTGACTACTAGATAATGACTTACTTTCACTTCACCTTGAGTTTCAGTTTAGTTTCAGAAGGTTGTCATGCCATAAAATCAGTAAGGAGTTAGCGAGGGCTACAAAGAATAATAAAGATGTTATATATGGAAAATATTGATTCTTGCTTTTTGATTTTTGCTATTTAAATTATTATAAAAAGAACTTAGCAAGCAACCACATACTTGGTGACCTCGGAATTATTGATAAAGATGTCAGAAAGTGAAGAATCGGCGATTAAAGAAGAAATAGCACGGGTAAGTGTTAAAATACCTCCCTTTTGGGCTGAAAAGCCAGAGATATGGTTTTTATCAAGTAGAAGCACAGTTTTCTATTTGTGGAATAACTGCCGAGGAAACTAAATTCAACTACTTAGTATCGCAATTGGAAGCAAAATTTGTTGAAAGTTTATGGGATATTATAAGTGACAATAGCAAAACCAAATATACGTCTGCTAAAGAACATCTGTTGAATAGTTTTAAAGAAAGTAAAAACAAATGCTTACAGAGACTGCTAACAGGCATAGACTTGGGAGACAGTAAACCTAGTCAACTTTTACAAAAAATGCGAAATCTTGCTACCGATGGCATTTCGGATAAAGTTCTTAAAACACTATTTCTGCAGAAAATGCCAGATACTGTGCGCAATATTTTAATCGTTAGTGATGAAGATATCGAAAAAACTAGCTCTGATGGCGGATCGTATCATCGAAATGCAACCAAAACAAAACAAGAACTATACTGTGCCAGCAGCAGTATTGTTTCTCCAGGAACAGATGCTATTGCTGAATTACGACAACAAATTGCAGCTTTGGATAATAAATTCGAAAAACTAACTGTCACAAGAAATTCTCGTTCTCGCTCAAGAAATAGCAGTCGATCATCTAATAATCGAAGTAAATCTCGGAGCCGTTATAACCCTAATGGCAAGTACTGTTATTTCCACTTTCGTTTTCGAGAAAAGTGTTTTCCTG